TAAACTTTCAAAATATTAATATTTTCCACTTCGAACTGTTTAAAAAGTCATGGATTTTCACTCGAATTAAACGTGTGAAAAACATAAATTTTTTCTTTCAATGTTTCTTGCTAAAAACTCATGCATATATATCCATGGCTTTTTACTCAATTCGTGGATTTCTAAACTGAACTTTAAATTTGCTTAATTGAAATTGACTCGAATGTTAATAGTTGATATATAATTGAACTTGTGTATACTTGCTAATTTAATATCACTGAAATTGATAAAAATTAAATTAAATTAAACACTTACAGATACAGTTCAATAATTTTATTTGATGGCATTACACAAATTTATATATAAGTTAGATCGTTATCTTACAAATAATAATTATATTATTATAACATACTCTTACTCTAACTACAATAGAACAGCATTTATAATTAATAATTTTTACTTATTACAAATATTAATTACAATTGCTACTATTATAAACATTATTATTATTAATTATGATTACTACTATTATATAAACATGTAAAAATTCAAATCATGACTTAGACATTAAATAATGAAAGGAAAAATGTGTGCTTTTGACATGTTTATATCGAGTATAAATCCATGGTTTATTAAATAATGAATAAAAAATTACATGATTAAACGAGTCAATATGTTAAATAATTATTTCTAATTGTAAACTTGGAAATTAACTAATTCTTAAATATATACTCAATATAATATATGTAAAGCCAATCGGATGTTGTTCACTTCACTTTGTCTTGATTTATCTAATTACAAAAGACATCGAAGTCATCAGAGGCCAGAAGTTTAAGACACCCAAGCATGACAATGAGGTTCATCGGTTGCCGGTCACTTCACTCTGGTCTTAATTCCTCAGAATTGATAAATGATTTTCTCCCATATTACCTATAAAATGCAAAGACATAAATATTTATGTAATTCAGTGAGTGGTGAATAAAAAAAAATTACATGAGCAAATGAGTTAATATGATTGTATCTCTAGCAAATGATCGAGTGCCTGAGGACTCACAATGAAAGAAAACAATAATGGTATGAATAAAACAAATTTAGAAGGTTAACAATAATTGTATTCAATATTTAGATGAATGTATTACAAACATTTAGGTTCTTGGCATTGGCTTCTCAATGCAACACATAGCAGAATCTTGACAAGTGTTTTGGGACAGCACGATCAGCAGTACTAGTCAAATTAGCAATTCCATACAACCTGTAAGAAAGATTTATTAATATTGTAATAAAAAAATATAGTACAATAATTATAATACTATAAACTAAATATAAAACTATTTTAACAAAACATTAGTCAACAATTTACATGAATACAACAAATCAAGGGGCGAGAAACCATAGGAGGGCAAATGCAGGGGCCTAAGGGACCAGGGTAAAAGTACAAGTGCAGAGACACCAGGGTAAAAGTACAAGTACAGAGACACCAGGGTAAAAGTACAAGTACAGAGACACCAGGGTAAAAGTACAAGTGCAGAGACACCAGGGTAAAAGTACAAGTGCAGAGACACCAGGGTAAAAGTACAAGTACAGAGACACCAGGGTAAAAGTACAAGTACAGAGACACCAGGGTAAAAGTACAAGTACAGAGACACCAGGGTAAAAGTACAAGTACAGAGACACCAGGGTGAAAGTACAAGTACAGAGACACCAGGGTAAAAGTACAAGTACAGAGACACCAGGGTAAAAGTACAAGTGCAGAGACACCAGGGTAAAAGTACAAGTACAGAGACACCAGGGGTAAAAGTACAAGTACAGAGACACCAGGGTAAAAGTACAAGTACAGAGACACCAGGGTAAAAGTACAAGTGCAGAGACACCAGGGTAAAAGTACAAGTACAGAGACACCAGGGTAAAAGTACAAGTACAGAGACACCAGGGTAAAAGTACAAGTACAGAGACACCAGGGTAAAAGTACAAGTACAGAGACACCAGGGTAAAAGTACAAGTACAGAGACACCAGGGTAAAAGTACAAGTACAGAGACACCAGGGTAAAAGTACAAGTACAGAGACACCAGGGTAAAAGTACAAGTACAGAGACACCAGGGTAAAAGTACAAGTACAGAGACACCAGGGTAAAAGTACAAGTACAAACCAGGGGCTTACAAGTACAAGACTAGGCCGCAGGCTATTCGAGCAAGATGAGACCAAAATGCAAGACATTCAAGTAAAGAGAGACCGGAGTGCAAATCATTCAGAAGACCGCTTAAAGTTTCGTCAAATAAGCCTATAAAACTAAAATTATTTAACATAATTCTTAAGTATATATATCAAGTATAAAAATATTTTAATACTTATATTTCTTTGCCCAACGAATGTTTCAATGTCTAAACTGCTGTATCCGCAATCTTCACAATAGAGCCAATCGGTTGCCAATCAGTCTAATTTTTCTTGATCTATCACAACTGACGCATTATATTCTTTTATTATACCTATAATTTGAAAGTAGTTTAAAATATTGAAGGGTACAAAATACAACATATTATGAATAAAGCATTAATGAAAATTGAAACAATAAATTGAACTAATGCAACAATGTATTTATTTAATAATTAAATGAATATAACATAAGTATCCAAGTCATAATCCTTGGGTGAACGTAGCATGTTTCTGACAGCAAGATAGATCCATTGCAGGCACGTGTGTGAGCATCCTGAAGCGGTCATTGTTTACCCTGTAAACAAAAACATCGAATTAATAATAATTCAGACTACTATAATACATTATAAAAATGTAACTCACCAAGTGTTTTCTTCTGAGCCGTTTCACTAAGTCTTCTTAAGTAAACTGCAACAAGTGGTTTTTATTGTAACTGATCAAACTACGTTATTAAAATGTTAGTATTGTTAATGAGTTAGTAAGACTACTGGTAAGAACATGCATGCAAGACTAAACAGTTACAAAAAGAACCACTTGTGTAAACTTATAAGAATTAGTGTTCCAAAACCCAAGCAGTTGATTGTCGACTGATGTTTCATGAGCGCTTACAGTCTGATTAGAGTCGATGAGGGCTGTTGATTCAGAAGTGGATGATTGAATCTGAAAAAAAAAAAACAAAAGATTAGAACACGTCTTTTAAAATGTTTGATAAAGGATACAGACTGCCTGATAGATACTTGATAACTTCTTACTGTTTGATGAGGGCTGTTGATTCAGAAGTGGATGATTGAATCTGAAAAAAAAAACAAAGATTAGAACACGTCTCTTAAAATGTTTGATAAAGGATACAGACTGCCTGATGGATACTTGATAAGTTCTTACTGTTGGATGGATTATAAGCGATGAGGGCTGTTGATTCAGAAGTGGATGATTGAATCTGAAATAAAAAAAACAAAAGATTAGAACATGTCTCTTAAAATGTTTGATAAAGGATACAGACTGCCTGATAGATACTTGATAAGTTCTTACTGTTTGATGGATTAAAGGCGATGAGGGCTGTTGATTCAGAAGTGGATGATTGAATCTGAAAAAAAAAACAAAAGATTAGAACACGTCTTTTAAAATGTTTGATAAAGGATACAGACTGCCTGATAGATACTTGATAACTTCTTACTGTTTGATGAGGGCTGTTGATTCAGAAGTGGATGATTGAATCTGAAAAAAAAAAACAAAAGATTAGAACACGTCTCTTAAAATGTTTGATAAAGGATACAGACTGCCTGATAGATACTTGATAACTTCTTACTGTTTGATGGATTAAAGGCGATGAGGGCTGTTGATTCAGAAGTGGATGATTGAATCTGAAAAAAAAAAAACAAAAGATTAGAACACGTCTTTTAAAATGTTTGATAAAGGATACAGACTGCCTGATAGATACTTGATAACTTCTTACTGTTTGATGAGGGCTGTTGATTCAGAAGTGGATGATTGAATCTGAAAAAAAAAACAAAAGATTAGAACACGTCTTTTAAAATGTTTGATAAAGGATACAGACTGCCTGATGGATACTTGATAAGTTCTTACTGTTGGATGGATTATAAGCGATGAGGGCTGTTGATTCAGAAGTGGATGATTGAATCTGAAATAAAAAAAACAAAAGATTAGAACATGTCTCTTAAAATGTTTGATAAAGGATACAGACTGCCTGATGGATACTTGATAAGTTCTTACTGTTGGATGGATTATAAGCGATGAGGGCTGTTGATTCAGAAGTGGATGATTGAATCTGAAATAAAAAAAACAAAAGATTAGAACATGTCTCTTAAAATGTTTGATAAAGGATACAGACTGCCTGATGGATACTTGATAACTTCTTACTGTTTGATGAGGGCTGTTGATTCAGAAGTGGATGATTGAATCTGAAAAAAAAAAACAAAAGATTAGAACACGTCTTTTAAAATGTTTGATAAAGGATACAGACAGCTTGATAGATACTTGAGCTCCGACAGTAATAAAAAAAAATTGATGCATCAATGTAACAATTTATGCATATTAGAATATTTCTCTATAAATTGGCGCAATGCTATACGGATTGCAAACGGCGGCAGTTGTTTATAAATCACGATAGTTATATAATAGAGTAATACATAATGTCAAATGATTCAGATTATTACATCGTTGTTTAATAGTGGATTATTGTGTTAGTGTGTCAGTCAAAACTAGAACTACGAATGCTACCTACATAATTTACTACTACCCCAAACTACTATATTAGCATGCAAGTAATTATCTGAATCACGGCATTACATAATTGATAATTTGTTAACAAAGTAGAATTAAAAAAAAAAAATGAATGCTATATCGCAGAAGTTTATAGATGTTAAATAGATAGAATTGCGCCAAATTAGGTATGCCGTTCACAATCTACTGTCGGGTCACAAGTTGTTAAAAAAAAAAATTGCACAAAACTAAAATACAATACAAGCAAACGCGAATGAATGAATGAATGACAGAGAACTCTCAATGATTTGTTTGATTTTGCTTGCGTTCTCATAACCAACTTATTATTATTGGGTACTTCCCTGGGTCTTTTTTTGGTCCTGGAGGTCCTCTTGCTTTGCTTCCTATCACATGAATGAACGAGTTGACAACCGCGCAGACTTAGTTTGCCATCAAGTCGCCGGCGGAGCCACTTGACACGCGCCAAAAATGACATCGTGCGCAACTAAATTCGAATTGGTTCGATTAGATAATTATCGATGTAATTATAAATTATTTATAATTATATTTTTTATTTTTAATTAAATATAAAAATAAAAGTTAAAATAAACATTTATATATGAAAAATTGATAAATGAACAAAATACTTGAGATAAATAATAAATAGATAAATGTATAAATAAATAAATGTATTAATAACTAGTAGTGTATGTCATCGTGCCTTAAGGCAAATTGCTGGAACTTGCAGTACCGTAATTAAATATTCGAGGCATATTAAATGTCCTAAACAGTAGTTTTCATTGTTCTTATTTTATAGACAAAATTAAGAGTTTATGAATTGGATGACAACGTTTATATATGTTTACAGAAACGTAAATTAAACTTAATAGCCTAATATTTCTAAGAATTATATAAACTAAATTGAGAAGTTGAAATTATTTATTTGAAGTACATAAGTGAACTTTGGAAACGATTAAAATTAAAATTCTAATTATTTTCGATTCTAAAAAAAATTTTTTGCTCTTTAATAAAAGCAATCGTATAGACACAAGCAAAAAGTTTTTTGAATTATTAACTATTACCCTAGCAAAAATTAAAAATTAAAAAATAACATACTAACAATAAAGAAAAATCATGAAAAAGCTAATACTGAAAAAATAGAATAAAAAACTTGACACATACTATTTTCCAATTTTGGTCTCAAATGAAACAAAAAACTGTGTGTGTCAGTGGCATTTTGCCTTGAGGCAAGTTGCATGAATAATAACTCAATCGATAGAAATTGAGATTTACTTAAATAAAATTTACAATTGTTAATTTTGAAAATATTTCTTTCGCTTTTCACTAAAAACTAATTAATGCGATTTCCAATTGATATCTATCAAACACTAATTATACTGATAGGCACACACATATTTGTTATGTCCTGAAAGTGTCCTAAAATTTTCTTAAGCCTCTACTAAAGGTGTTTGTTTATTACTACATGAATTATAAGGATAAGGATATTGAATTAAAGATGCTTAAAAAAACATTTTATTCAACATTTAAGTACGAAGAATCAGCCCGGTCCTAAACTAATCAGTATGATTTCCAAATTATATCTTTCAAATAGGTTTTTCGAATTTTTAAAATCAATTCAGAATTTCTAAAACGCGGACAAATGTTTTTCTCCTGTTTTTTTTTTTGGAAAATCTCAACGAAAAGTCAAAAATCGGCCCACAAACGCACACAGCCATACACACAAACACACATACTACTTTTTCCAAAATTGGTATCAAATGATTCAGAATAACTTGAAACAACGAGTGAGCATAAAAATCGGTTGTTCGCCGAAAACAGACTTCTTTGGGAAATTAATAAATAGTAAATTTACTTTAAATATTCAAAAAAAACTTAGCAAAACCACAGAGATGAAACGATTTAATGGCATTTCAGTGTATTTATAATACATTTTCTAAATTTGGTATCAAACGATTCAGAATAACATGAAATGTCGATGGAACATAAAATTATCAAATCGTCGAAAACGAACTTCTTTTGGACGTTAATTAATAAATAGTAAATTTACTCTAGATATTCAAAAAAAAAACTTAGCAAAATTGAATGATTAAACGAATGGCATTTCAGTGTATTTATATGGGAATAAATTGTTTCACAAGGGATTCGACATACGAAAATTAAATTTGGGAACAATTGAAAATTGCATTTATTAAAAACATAATACTTTTTTAATTTCAATATCTGTTACAACTGCAAAATAAAACTAGTGGGGTGTATGGCATCGTGCCTTAAGGCAAATTGCTGGAACTTCTCGTACCGTAACGAAATGTTCGAGGAATACTGAATGTCTTCAAATAGATAATTATAAATATTGTAACATTGTCTAATATTTGTAAGAATTATATATAACTGAAGTGCAAAGTTGAAATTATTTGTTTAAAGTATATTAGAACTATAGTCAAAATTAAAAAGCATGAAGTTTTTTGAATCATTTAAATCGGACGCTTAGTTCTCTCAAAATCTGCCATTTTTTACACATTTAGCTCCGTATCTTCGAAATGGCTGGGCCTGCCTTTGCCAAAAACTAACAAACACTTCTCCCAATCATTAATGTGTTTTAGATCATTCAAATCGGATGCTCCGTTCACTCAAAAACTCGGTTTCTATTTTCTGCACTCTTTGCTCCGTATCTCCGTAACGGCTGGACCTGTCTTTGCCAAAAACTAATCAGCTCACCTCCCTATCAATAGGGATCGAATGTTTTTTGAATCATTCAAATCGGTTCATCCGTGCGCCCGAAAACGTGACCAAAAATTGTATCCATACATACACACACACATCCATTTTTCTGAGGTATGCCAAAATGTTCAGAAACCTTTAAAACGTCAAAAAATGTAGAAAATTTCAATTTCGATTTTCGGCCCATTACAATAACTTACCCTACGGCAAATTAATATTTAGTAACATAAGTAAATAGTAACATAAATTAAAATAAAATAGAGTACAAAATAATGTATAGTATTTTCATTAAAATGATATCCGCATTAGGATGATTTAATATAAAATAAAAGCAAGTAATGATAAAAAAAATTTATGAATATTAAAAATAATACTAAAAACATGTAATAATAAAAACATTTCACAAATCGTAAAGTTCATGCAACTTGGCTTAAGGCAAAATGCCACTTACACTCAATTAACTTCTGAATTTTTATATGTTTACGTTTCAAAGATTTCTGAACATTTTGGCATACCTTAGAAAAAATCGATGTATGTGTGTGTGTGCGGATACAAATTTTCGTCGTCGATTTCGGAAACACCGATCAACCGATATGAATAATTAAAAAAAAATTCGATTCGTATTGATGAGGAGACGTGCTGATTAGTTTTGGGCGAAGGCAGGTCTAGCCATTCCGAAGATACGGGGCAAAAGGTGCTAAAAGTGGTAACTCAGTTTTTAAGAGAACGGAGCGTTCGATTTTAATAATTCAAAAAACATTTTACTTATATTGACAAGATGAATAATTGATGAAATTTTTGGCAAGGCAGGTCTAGCGGTTTCGGAGATGCAGAGAAAAAAGTAAAAACAAATGATGTTTGGTGGTCAAAAATGTACATTAGCCGTATGCACATCAAATTATCAGATAATGAATGAAGTTTTTAAAAATAAGTACAATTTTTTTGCGTTCCGTACCAAGATTTTTTACTTATACGGTTAAAGAAAATATCAAAATTTTCCGGAAAAGAATTTAAAATTCTCAAAAATATACATAGTTTTTTATACATCAAATATGAATTTTAAATTTACAATTCAGTTTCAAAATGTATATATTATTCTAATCGTAAGAAATATATCCTCAGATGGATTAATTCGGCACCTCTTGCTAATTGACGGGGAAAAGTGGTTATTAGTTTTTGGCAAAGGTAGGCCCAGCGGTTTCGGAGATACAGAGCTAAATATTAAAAAATGGCAGTTTTTGAGAGAACTAAGCGTCCGATTTGAATGATTCAAAGAACTTTCTGCTTGTTTCAACAAAATAATTGATTTTGGAAAAAAAATGTTTCTAATTTTTTTTTTTCAAAAAATATTTTTGTTGGATGGATTAAAAATTGATAAATTACCCAGGCTAAGCACAGTCTAACGCCACTCTGGTGCAAATGCTTACCCAAGTGTATTTAGACTGTTTATGTAGTGGAGCACTTTTCCAATTTTGTGAAAACTATTAAAAATGTGAAAATGCCGCCAAGCTAAGCACAATATAAATGAAAATATCGCATAAATTATCTGCAAATCGTTTAGACTGTGACTATACGGAGCACTTTTTCAATTTTGTGCAAATGAGGCAACTATTTTTGTTTTGAAATTGAATTCGAAATGAAATGACGATTGTTAATGTTCTGGAGATAAAATGATCTATTTATTTGCTTAGATATAACAATAAGATAGCAAAAATAATGAAAGTTACAGTATTTGTAATAATATATTCGAAAACGTTTAAAATTTCTCGAATATTTCATCACGGTACGGGAAGTTCTAGCAATTTGTCTTAAGACACGATGCCATACACCACTAGTTATTTGATTTATTATAGAGATTGCTAATAATATTATAGAGATTGCTAACAATAAATATCTTACAATATAAACCAGAAGATAGTAGCAAAACCGAGCGGCGTGTCTACTTTGTATAATATTTAATTCTCGTACGGGAAGTTCCAGCAATTTGCCTTAAGGCACGATGACATACACCACTAGTTTTAATTTTGTAGAAAACTACAATTTAGTAAATTCTGACTTAATCGTATATCAAAAATTTCGAAACATTTTATGAATATTTATCTATTCGCAAAAACAAACCAATAGGCGCTTATCAATATTTTTTACTGTTTACTGATTTTTTCCTCGAATATATAATTCTGGTACGGGAAGTGCCAGCAATTTGCCTTAAGGAACGATGCCATGTGCATTAACAGTCTAAACGCACTTGGGTAAACATTTGCACCAGAGTGGCGCTTAGACTGTGCTTAGCCTGGGTAATTTTTTGAATTTTAAATCTATCCAACAAAAATCTTTTTTGAAAAAAAAAAATTAAAGACAATTTTTTTTCCAAAAGCAATTTTGTTGAAACAAGCAGAAACTTTTTTGAATCATTTAAATCAGACGCTTAGTTCATTCAAAAACTGCCATTTTTTTAACATTTAGTTCTGTATCTGCAAAACCGCTCGGCCTACCTTTGCCAAAAACTAATAACCACTTTTACTTGTCAATTAGCAAGAGGTGCCGAATTAATCCATCTGAGGATACATTTCTTACGATTAGAATAATATATACATTCTGAAACTGAATTGTAAATTTAAAATTCATATCTTATATATAAAAATGGATCGCAAAATGTGTTGGTAAGCGCATAACTCAAGAACGCCTAGACCAATTTGGCCAATTCTTTTTTAAAATGTTCGTTGAAGTCCAAAGATGGTTCTTACGGCGAGAAAAAATCGAATAATT